TCGGGGACGGGGGCGTCTTCCCCCGCTCCGGGTTTTCAGCGCCATTTCGGGGGCAGGTCCTTCACCCGGGGCGAGTGAAGGACCCACCGCCAAAGTGCCACCGAAGACCCGGTAGGGAACTGTGTGGTGAGTACGGGCCCAGAGCCCTGGGGTAGCGGGGCTGGGGGGACAGGACTCCAAGGGCTATTTAAAGGGCCCAGGGCTCCCCTGCTTCTACCTGCTGGAGCTCCGGCCCTTTAAATAGCCCTTGGAGTCCTGTCCCTCCCAGCCCCGCTACCCCAGGGCTCTGGGCCCGTACTCACCACACAGTTCCCTACCGGGTCTTCGGTGGCACTTTGGCGGTGGGTCCTTCACTCGCCCCGGGTGAAGGACCTGCCACCGAAATGGCGCTGAAAACCCGGAGCGAGTGAAGACCCCCCCCGTCACCGAAGTGCCACCGAGGACCTGGTAGGCAACCAGTTCTTAGGATTTTGGGAGCTCAACACTGCGCGCGTCCCTGTCGGGGTCAGAGCTCACAGCCTGGCGCAGCAGTTGGGGCTCGTAGCCCCACAGCTCCACACAGGGGGTGGGGCTCGCAGCCATGCGTCGCGGTCGGGGCTCACAGCCAGGCGCAGGGCTCAGGCCTTGCAACTTGCAGCTGGGGTTGGGGCTCACTACCCCCCATAACTGGGTTGCGACCCCCAGTTTGAGAACCAATGCTTTATAATTACTGTAGGGTGTATTCTGTTTATTTTCCATTTACATTGTGCATTTGTCATGACGCAATGTGCATATTATGTGATTATAATTTTTCATAAAATAATAAGAATTAAAAAACTTAAATTTGTCTTTTTCTGTGCCCCTCAGCTTTGTGCGCCTGAGGCAAGTGCCTCACCCTTGTTACGGCACTGATCGTTTGTTAATTTGAGGTCAACTGGCATTTATTCTCATGCTGGACCTCTCAACAGATTTTGATTCCACTGATCATGGGTTGCTGCTTAGGCTGACTAGTGATACTGATGATCTGCCAGGAACTGCTCTGCAGTTGTTCCTTTCATACCTAGAAAACATAGTGTTCCCTTCCATCCTTCCTGTATTTCTCTCCCTTCTCCTCCCTCCCTTCTCCTCCCTCCCTTCTCAATATTGTCTTGCCCTTCCTTCCTTTTCCTACTATTCGTGTGCTTCTATTACATCATCTCCTTCCCCCCTTGCCCTATTCCCAAATTTATATTTTAAAAAACAACAAAAAAAGTTTTTTAAAAAACATATGTAGTTAACATCACATAGCCACTTATCACTGACTACGGCTTGTGTGCGTGATTCCTTTTCCTTCACTCTTCATCTGATTTGTCTATTTAGTTTGTAAGCTCTTAAGGGAAGCTTCAATCTTCTAATATGTTTGTAGGGCCTACATCTGATTGAGGCTACTGGAATATAAAAATAATAATAATCCGTGATAGGCAATTGTTTGCCTTCACCAAAAGATTTGAATTGGCATCTCTGTCAAATGATTGCTGCCTAGTTGGACAGTATCAGCATGGATATATGCCTCAGTCCAGGATGGCAGCATTCAGGAGGCATCTACTCTCTGCCCTTAATTCCAGATTAGAAATTTAGATGCTTTAGGCTGTTTTAAAAGCTTTAGGAGCTATTGGTTGATAGTCTGATATTTCTGGTGGACTGCAGCTGGCATGAGAGGTCAAGGACTCTGGGGAGAGGCAATCTCTCGAGTTGCTTGGGCTGATTCCACTGAGAGCTTGAATATGAAGCTGGAGACCTTAAATTGGACTCTTTATTCAATGGCAAGCCAGCTGAGTGACTGGAGCACCAGAATGACATACACATAGCAACCTGAGCTGCTGAGCATTTTGTTACAGGTAAAGCTGGAGTAGTCTGAATTTCCTGTCTCCTTTGCAGATACTGTAAATTCTCAACAACGATGTTGCATTAACAGTAAATTTTTGCAGTGAATTTTGTAAATGTTAAATAACTTGATATAGCAAAGCATTATTGACAACTTCTTGCTGCAGGCTCTGGCTTCGTTAGCCAAGCTGTATATCCGTTTTGTCTGACATCTGCATTTTCAGTCTGATGTCACTCAGCCCATTATTTGCCATTGCCTCCCCCTTCATTGTATTAGCTGTGAGAAACAAAGAGAAGCTTATAATAGGGACACATGGTAGTGCAAGGGTAATAAGAGACCAGCACATAAGTATACCTTCTAAATTAACATTTTGCTTTAAAAAAAAATCAGTGTTCTACTGGTTGCCAAGTTTCCCTTTTCATATCCATTAGCATTTTAACTGTACACTCTGAAACTCATAATGGCCATGGCCAGTGCTGATATCATATTGTTTTAAAATGATCATTCAGAAGGAAATAATCCAGTATGATCTCTTTTGTTTATAGGCTGTGTTCTGTGTTGAATTTGATGTAATAGCCTCCTACCCATATCCAGCTACTTCTTTATCACATCATTTACAAACTGTTGCAATATTCCATGTGTTGCAATATTTTGACCTCATACACAGAATTCTTCTGTAGGTTTCACGAATATCCTCTCTTCACATACTGAAGTCACTAGGAGCTGCCAGTACCTATCACCACTTTTTATTTTAGGAGCTAAATATGGTTTTTGGCACCTAACTTCAGGCATCCATGTTTGGAAAACGCAGGCCAAGATTGAAATAACATTTAAACAAATAACAGGAAATAGGTCTGATGACTGTTTAAATTTTTTTTGTTAACACCTTTTTAACTTGAATCACTAGCAATATTCTTTCTCCAAAACAGTAAAGATTCACCATCTTCCATCCATTAAGTTAGGGTGTAAGAGTTAACAATATACATTCTTTGAGATATCAAGTGGATCTTGCAGCAAAACTAAGGAAGAGTAGAGTTGACATTCCTGGCACTTAAGATAAGGAACAGAACAATCTTTAATAAAGGAAAAAGTTTTCTAAGTTCTTTGTATCATAGGAAGTAAAAAAGGGAACAAGTTCAGTTAAAAAAAATCACTTGCAGAGCACCTCTGAAGGGGAAAACCTTTGTTTTAGTCTCCTCTTTAATTAGTTCACCCCTGTTTCCAGCAATGCCCTGTTTTTGCAGACTGATGTTTTCCTTTAGGTGTTTCCTTTATGTGCTGTGTCTCCTGCATTCTGTTCTGAGTGAGAAAGAAAGGATAGAAGCAAATAAAAAGCAGTGCTGGCCAACACAGAACATATTTAACAAGGTGGGACATAAGTGTATGAGGACAGAAGGGTGGCTAAAACCTTTACTCAAAAGGGGAAGTCATACCAGCCCTACGGGTAAAGTAGACATTTCAGAGGCTGTAAAGTATACTTATCTGAAACCAACGCCCATACCAGTGCCAGCTCTCCTTAATGGATCAACCTGAAATAATTCAAATCCTAAATTCTCTTTCTACCTACATTACTGTGAAGGATAGGTGAACTCATTTTATCTAACTTTGAACACACTCATACATAAGACTTATCTGTTTTCTGTTCTATGGAGAGTGGGACGGGGTAGGAAGAGGGAAAGGGTAGAGAAAAAAATTAATGAAAATCTATGGGTAAAATAGAATTGAGGGGAAGCAGTGACAGATAGAAACTGAGAGGGGGAGGGAGTGAGGGTATAGAAGGGAAAAGAGGCAAATTGTTTTTTGTTGTTGTTGTTCAATCTATATAATTGCATACACTTTAGGGCACAACTTGTCTCAGCTTAGCTTTTACAGATGGTTTTCCTTTTCTTTTCCATATATCATGTAGGCTCATAATCTTTTCTTTAATACAGCTAAGGAAAAAAGTTTAAAATACAGGGAAAAGGGTTACAAATTCAAACTAGTTTTGTACATCTCATTTTGACAGATTCCCCAAATCCAAAATTGTACGGAATTGGGTAGTCCCTCACTACTATATTAGGAGTCTGTCACATTACTTTTCATATGCAAGGAGTTCTAAAGCTCGTTACATGTATTACAGTAGATGTCATACTGATAAAGGAGTGACTGTAGCAAACAGAGTTGCCATTATACTCTCAAAATTGTACTCTTGCAGCTTTGGATAGAACATGTTTTTTCAGGAGAAAAAAATATATTCACCAGGGCTCTGATCTTATCTGGTACTTTTCAAAAAAGTGCCTGTGTATAAACTACCCTATGAAGATTGTTTTTTGTGATATGGTGGTAACAATAAACTAAGCTAATATCTTGTTTGCCACTCACAATTACATTGTAGTTTTGCTTGGCCCCAATTATTTTCTAAGGATTTCCATCCTACTACGTAGCTGTTGTTTTGGATACTTCTCTCAGTACATTAGGTTGATTTTTAACCCCCAATCTCTTTTTGCTTCCTATCAACTGTCTTGCATCCTCTATTTTTTGTGTTTTTTTCTTCTTTTCTTGTAGGTGTTTGCATCTATCCCTACAGTACTTTTGTACTATCTGCAAACTTACCTTGTGTGTTAGTGCCTTTTCCTGGTAAAGCAGTTCCTTTTCCCTTCTCAGTTCTCTTGGTAAAGCAGTGACTAAAGTAATGTGAGAGAATACATGCTTTGTAATCACCCATCACCCCAAAAGTATTACATGTTCTCAGTATGCAAAAATGTGCCCTAGGTGTACATTGTTTTACATGAACAGACATGATTCAGATACAAAATTCCCAGACAAAATCTTTTTTACACTGTTGTTGTATGTAACAATAGCTGGGGATGGGGGGAAACATTAATAGAATGTTATTTTCAGAGAGAGACTGAAAATTAAGAAATTGAAAGTTACAGTTACATTTAAAACCTCCCCTTTTTCTCGTCTCCCAAGTAGTAGAGAATATAAAACGCAGATTTAAAATATTTCAAACAACTTTAATTCTGTCCCAGACGCTTGCCACTCTGTGCACCATTTGTGATAGATAGGAATTTATGACAAGTATCACAATATTACAGGAAGGTGACCTGTTATAACTCCAAATATCTTCATGTCTTGATCAAAGGCGTAGTGGTTAAGACCTCTTCAATACCCTTATTTATTTAAGAACTGACACTGTGTTTGGAGCTGTATAGGCATAAAATTAAAACAGTTTTTACTCCAAAGAGCTTACCATCTAAGATCTCAATCATGTATGATCTCCCAGGGGGCGCAACCCCATTGAAGTTGATTCACATGTGTAAAATAAGTATAATAGGAACTGCCTACCCAGTATTAGTTTTTTTTTTTAATGTACTTTGAGTTCTATGGATAACAGATGCTGTTCAACTACAAAATATCATTATTAAAGTCAGAGGATGGCAGAGTGAAGACTCCGAAGTTTATGAATCCCAGCCCCCTTGCTCAGTCCACTAAAGATTCAGCAAAACCAAAGCTGGTTTGCACCTTATAAAAACTGCATTGGCACATGCAGAACAACCTAAAATTTTCAAAAGCCAGAATAAATAAGCGTTTTCTAAACAATTTCTACCCAGCCTTTCCAAAAACAGTCAAAGTACTACAAAGTATCACTAATGCCAACTAAATTTCTAAACCTAGATGTTTGAGATTTAATATTTCAAATAATAATAAAGTAGAACACTTCTCAAAGAGGCATATATTGCTAATTTTTCATGCTACCTGTTTCTGCAAACAAATCTCCTTTGGTAGAGAAACAAAAAAACTCAGATGGATTGGTTTAATTTGAATTAGAGTGATGAGCAAAAGTGCATGTGTTAGCTTGCTACCTGTGACAACTTGACCTACGGAGAGATAAATAATATCTGTATGATCAAAACTCTCACCTGATGAGTTTATTTTTCATTTAAAATATATTAGCAAATACTATATTTTTTTCTATACAGAAGCATTTATCATATTCCTACATATTCTTTAAGATCATGATATTCAGAAAGAACTGTTACATTTTATCCATGATATTAAATAATCCTAAAGGAACTGAAAATAAGCACTCGCAGGAACTATTAATTCAGGCAAACAATGAAGAGTAAGGTTATGCAAAAATCTGACATATGGTAGGCAAGCTCTATTATTGACTCATCTGTAACTTGGACATTTTGCCTAACATTATTGCATCACCCACTGATCTCCCATGCAATACCTAGGTTAACTGGAGAGAGTTGGGATTGAAGTTCCTCATTCTTCCCAAAATCTTGGAGTGGAACAATCATACATTCTGCTACAATTTTGCCAACCCTAGCATTATGCATTGTTAGTGCATGAGTATCTGAAAGTGAAATTGAAAATAAAAATACTGGTCAATTTCACTTTTGAGTCTATTCAAAGCTGAAAAATGAAAAAAACACCAACAACATAATGTGTGATTACTATGCCAAAGAAGTGTTTTTAATATGCTTACCATGACTATATTCCATTTTAAATATGAAAAAATGAATGTACTAAAGCTTCATTCTGCTTTTATTGAAGTCCATTCGGAATTTTGGCATTGACCTCAGTGGGAGCAGGAGCCTACGCTCACTGTGTGCAAAATTCATTTTGTCTGTGTTATAGGTACACAGGAACAGCATGTGTATTTCATAAGTTACAGGTACACAAAAACAACATTCAAATTTCCTTTTCTTTGATTGTCTTTAAAAGACAGTTTGCCTATTTTTAACTCCTTTCAGTGGCATTTATTAGTTTCCATATAATTTTCTGTAACAGTTACATTAAAAGATTCTTAAAATGAGGATTTAGCATAGATCAGCTGCTGCAGGGAAAGAAGCACTTGTAACAAAACCTCCCCTGCTATTTTCCAACAGCCATTTCAAAGTGCTCTTCTTTTAAGAACCTTTCCCAGCTGTGTGTGAACAAAGAAGATGACCTCTTTTAAAATATGGCCCTAATTTGTAAGAATCCTCACTGCAAAGATGCATAAATAATATTATGTAACTTGCAGTTTTCCAGAGATGCCCTCAGGGAGGATACTAACTTAAGATGAGTTGTACAGTAGTAACAATAACAGAATTTATTTATAATGTGATGTTTTGCTACAATGAATAAGTAATGGATGCAGTCTCACTACATCAAAAAAACTGTCAGCACACAAAACAGTAATACTATTCTACAATCAAGGCTGCTCTTAAATAGAACCACCCATAACACCTGCTCTATTTTTGGTCTCGGGGGAGACTTGCCACCAGTATGTAACCAGGACTGTAGGACCCTGTGTTTCTATGGGCCTCTGCTGTCCACAGGGCCTTGCTGCTTCTAGGTTCACTTTTGAATAACCAAGATTTGGGGATGAGGGAAGGCAGGGACACTGCAAGTCAGAGGGCACCTGAGTACAGTTCCTCTTGTGAAAGAGAACTGGGGGCAACTCTGTAAGTTACTTCACTGAGGACCCTATAAAACCTAGGGCCAACTTCACACATAGTATGATAAAAATATAGTAAGATCTTTTTACCCTGTTGTTTCCTGCTCAGGAAACAATTACAGTGTTGTGGCCAGGGCAGCTGTCAGAGAATGGCTGTAAGACTATTACTCAAAGTTGGACTTGGCACTTATTCAGTCATTTCCAGGAACACTGTTAAAATGCAAACAAACTCATTAGTTTGCAAGTCTCTTGCATCTGAAGACGTGAGGTTCTTACCCACGAAAGCTTATGCTCCCCATACTTCTGTTAGTCTCAAAGGTGCCACAGGACCCTCTGTTGCTTCCCTGCCTAGGCTCCTTCGCCCAGCCCGTTCGCAGCGCACCATGCCCAGGCCCCTCCGTTCGTCCTCACACGCCCATCCATGGTGCAAGCCACCCTGCCCGGGCTCCTCCCGAGCCGCTTCCCTGCCCCCACTTTGCGTTGCACTTCAGGGGCAATCCCCGCTCCCAGCCTGAGACCTCCGCTCCGGGCCTGATCCACCCTCCGCACCTCTAACCTGCGCGGTCAGCATGAGCGAGCGGGAAGCCAACCGAGGCCGATGTTGAAAGCCGCAATCGGATTGGCTGGGTTGGTGGGGGGCGGAGTTAGGGGGAAGCTATTGCCTAGGTAACCGCCCTCCCTCTCATCTCAGCTTTAGGGCGTCTGCGCGCGTGCGCATCCCGGGGCCTCGCGGTTCCATGTGAGTTACCGGTAACAGGCCACTTAGTTGCTGCCGCGCTGGCTGGGAGGCGGCGGCTCAGGGGCAGCAGCTGCTGCTGCCGCCTCTGTCTGGGCAGGTGAGTGACTGCGTGAGGCGGGCGGAAGGGACCTTGTGCGTGTCCGTGTGAGAGCGGGAACTGCGTGTGAGTGCAACGTCTCCTCTTCCCCCCGGGACCGCGCTTGGGCTGCGGCTGGGGATGCCCGCCCGGAGGGAAGTTGCCGCCGCGGCGCGGCGTGTGGCCGGTTCCTACCCGAGCTGGGGCTTTGCCGAGGGCCGGGGCGCGGAGCTAGGGCGGGTTGAAGGAGAGAAGTGGCTGCTGCAGTGTCTCGCTGCGGCACAGAGAGAAACAGGGGAGAGTGGGGCGAGACACCCCCCCCCCCTCCGGGGGAGAGATCACAAGTGACTCTGCCAACTGAAGCCTCCTTCCTCTCTTCCCTCATCTCCCCCCCCCCCCCCCCAGGTCTGGCAGATCTGGGGCTGGTTTTCAATCCCTTCTCCAGCAGAGCAGTGGCTGTTCCCTTCCCTGTTTGCCCAGTGGTGGCAGCGAGTGTACCGGGGATGGGGAGAGGAAAAGGGTATTTTTTAGCTTCTTCAAAGAAAATTGCAACACTGGAGTTGCTCAACAAAAACGATAGTCAGATCTCTGCCCTCTTCCTGGCACTGGTGAAGTTTAGTCACATGTTGGTCTTTATCAGTTGGGCTGAGAGGAGATGGTGCATAGGACTAAACCTTCAGATGGCTTTGAATTACTCATTAAAATAGGTGGGAGTAGTTTGATCTGTGAGAGGGGGGTGGAAGATAAGATTACTTAAACGTTAACATGATCTGAAAGGTCTTTTGTAGTGTGTCGATCTGTTTAAAACCTCAAGAGTATCATTTAATTTTAAAGTTAAAAATGAGCCTCTGTTCTTTGTCGTAAAAACACAGAAAATGGTTGAGTATCCTTTGAGACTGCACAGGAAACAAACAAGTGGCATTTAAACATCCCAAACTCTTTTAAGATTACTGAGGATGTTACTACAGCAGGGTCTACACACACAACTGTGTCACTGAAAAATTTACACCCCTGAGAGATGAAATTAAGGGGACCCAGTGAAGACTCTTGTAGATTGATGGAAAAGCTATTCCCTTTTGGGGTGTGTATTTACTGCAGTGATGGGGGGGGGAACTCTTCTACCACTGTGGCAACATCTTCACTACAGCAGCATAGCTACAGCCCTGCAGCTGTGCTGCTGTCACATTTGTAGTGTAGATATACCCTTAAAATTGACAGCGGGAAATAGTGCTGTTCCTTCAAAACTCTGAAACCTTGTAGGCAACTTCAACTGTATGATGGCTATTTAAAAGTGCCCTTTTATGCTTTGTTATTATTTATTAGTAGAGCCTAATATTATCTCCTATGCTTTAAAAAAATATTTGATGTAGCTTCTGCATATTCCTACTTCCTCCCTCTAGTGCTCCTGAACTTCAGGAACCTTCAAGAAAAACAGTCCTTGTTCGGACCATTTGAGTGACCCGCCCTCCGCAGCACCAGATGTTCAGAGCCAAATTTATAAGTGGTCGTGCAGTCTCCAACTGCTGCAGTTCTTTCTGTTTTATGGCCTTTTGTAGGCATAAGGGTCTTTATTTCATGCGCAGAGAATTTTTTTTTCCAACCAGGAATTTCTTGTTAACTTATGGCTTCCCTCTGGGCAGGCATATGGCTTTATAGGGTGTGGGGAAGCATAGTTTTAGGAAGTTGGTAGGTAGTAGTTTCTGTGGCATTTAGATGCTTGGACTGTCTCCAGCTTGACAGAAAGGGGGAAGGGAGAAAACAGCTCATGCAGGTGGAAAAAAAAACTGGGTGAAGGGATCCTGACCTGAAGATTTTGGTCAGCAATGCTGTTGGAAGCATGTGGTGAGAAACTTTGCTTTGAATCTAATATAATTTAAGCTAGGCAGTGGAAAGCATTTTTATCTTTATTTTCTTGCAGCCATTTCTGACTTTTATGCCTCATTGGTTGTACTCACTTAAAGTCTGTCTCTTTGTAGTTAATAAACTTGTTTTTATCTAATCCAGTATGTTTAAGTTAGTGTCTGGGTAACTTTATTTAAGGTAACAAGCTAGTGTATGTTATTCCTTTAAAGGAATAATAGACTTAATACATTTAACTGTCCAGGAGGGGGCTGGGCAGTACATAACATACATTTCTGGGAGGACTGGGAGTCACCCTGCATATTATTCAAGATTGGCAAAAACCAGAACGTAACCCAAGTGTTGCTGGCACATTGCAGATACACAGACACACTCAGGATGTAGCTTGCATGCTGGAAAGTTGTTTGTGAGCTGCTCAGGAGGAAGCTACTTCAGCAAGGCATTGTAAGGCATCCCAGGTTGCAGGGCAAAGGTGATGCAGTATCCCACTGGTCTGGACTGCACCCCGGGTATCACACACAGTACCTGCTGTATCTGGAGGGGAGCCTATTCTCAGTAAAGTTGCTTGGCATGCTGTGCCTTTATGGCACGTTGGCACCAGGCATTCCTCTTGACCAGGGGGTTCTCAAACTGGGGGTTGGGACCGCCCAGGGGGTCTGAAGTTATTACATAGGGGGTTGCAAGCTGTCATCCTCCGTCCCAAACCCCGCTTTGCCTCCAGCATTTATAATGGTGTTAAATATATTGAAAAGTGTTTTTAATTTATAAGGGGGGGTCACACTTGCTATGTGAAAGGGGTCACCAATACAGAAGTTTGATAACTACTGCTCTTGACTAACCCTGCATTCCAGACCTTTGGATCTATCCTCAAGCTGGGATCCTGTTTTGGTGCAAGGATGAAGGAGACTGAACAGCCTCAAAAATCTTTTAAATGGGGAGGTAGAAGCCCTTGGTGCCAGGATCAATGTTATGTAGTTCTAACTCACCTGAGCACTTGGGGTATGGTTCTAGGGTTGCTCTAGTACCAAAGAAGCTGGCTTCATTGCCAAAGTTAATCAGTGCTGGGAAGTCTTCGTTCTCAGGGACTTTGGTGTTTTCAGCTGACCAGTGTTGTTTCCCTTAGAATAATGGGTTCTCTGAATCCTTGGCTAACGGGGCTTTTGTTGGTGCTGAGCTCTCCTTACCTCCAGGGTTTCACTAGGGCCCAGTGTTTAGGGAAACTTTGCATCTGCCTAAGGATAAAAAGAAGTTGAGCTTAAAGGGGGCCAGGGGTCCCGGTGCCATCACAGAGGTTGAAGAAACGTTATTATAGATTCAAGGAGCACATGAGCAGAGGTTTCTGATTCAGTTTCCTCTGTTCTGACGGCATCTCTGGTTCCTTTTCAGTATTTCCAGTTTAGGACTTAATTGAGATCCCCCTTCTGGAGTTGTTGCTGGATCCTCAGTGCCAGAATACTTCCATCTTCCGCATGGTGCCATCCTAGGATGGAAGAGTCTATTTGAGATCTTTCTAGTCTGGTGGACATACTAGAGCCTTCTGATACAGAACCTTTGTTCTGAGTACTTCCTGGATTGCCTTTGCTATCATCCATGTTGGGCTTGGAGGTTCACCTATGTAGCTCCCAGCATAAAGGTACTTTGACTTTCAGGAGTCCACTTTCTCCCTTGATCTCCACTAGGAGTTGCTTCTCTAGAGCCTTTCATGTCCCTTGGTAACTTGATGCAGGCTTGGAGAATCTTAAGAGCTCACTCCACCAGAATATTATTGATAACCTGCCTCTGTACACTTCCTTCACAGAAATATTCAGAACTGCTATTTGAAGTTTTGTTCACACATTTACATAGCACTGCTTTCTCAGTCTGGCATTTGGATCCTAACCTTGGGAGGGCAATTCTTCAGTTCTTGAATGGCTCAGGCCAGGTCAGGTCTACACTAGGAGTGCTATACTGGTATACTGTACTGGCAAAGTACTCCTGGTGTGGATCTATCTTATACCTGCTAAACTGTGCTTTTGCTAATATAGATTATTCCAGCCACCCTGAGCAAAATAAATTATGCCAGCAAAAGCGAAATTTTGCTGGTGTAACTGCATCTGCATGAGGGACTCTTGCCAGCATAGTTATATGTCAATCAGGGATCACACTTCTTCACATCCCTGACTGGCATAGGTCTGCAAAAGAGTGTAGGGTAGACCTAGCCTCAGCCTTCTATCCCAGGGTTTGTACCACTAGTTAGACTCCTACAAGTGGAAATGTTTAAAAATCATGTTTAGGGTCCTACCAAATTCATGGCCATGAAAAATGTATCATGGTCTGTGAAATCTGGTCTTCCCCCATGAAATCTGATCTTTTGTATGCTTTTACCCTATACTATATTGATCTTGTGGGAGAGACCAGTGTTTCTCAAAATTGGGGGTCGTGACCCAAAAACTAGTTGCAGAGGGGGGTCACAAGGGGGTGTCTTTGTGTTGCCACCCTTACTTCTGCGCTGCCTTTAGAGCTGGACGCCTGGAGAGCGGCAGCTATTGACCGGGTGCCCAGCTCTGAAGGCCGCAACCCTGCCAGCAGCAGTGCAGAAGTAAGAGTGGCAATACCATACCATGCCATCCTTACTTCTGTGCTGCTGCTGGCGGTGGCTCTGCCTTCAGAGCTGGGCTCCCGTCCAGCAGCTGCCACTCTCCAGCTGCCCAGCTCTGAAGGCAGTGCCACTGCCATCAGTAGTGTAGAAGTAAGGGCAGCAGTACTGCAACCCCACTTACACACGATAACCTTGTGAGCCCCTCCCTCTCCCCCAAACTTCTTTTGGGTCAAGACCTCTACAATTACAACACTGTGAAATTTTAGATTTAAATAGCTGAAATAATGAAATCTACAATTTTTAAAATCCTATGACAGTGAAATTGACCAAAATGGACCCTGAACTTGGTATGA